CAAGGGATTCAAAAATTGATCAAAGATAAAACAGAAGTTGAACATAAAATATCTTAAAATGAAATCATCTGAAAATGAGAAAATATACAAAGATTATAAATATTTGTGCAAAAAAAATTCGTAAAAGCTTAAGAAAAATTATTAACCTAAAATATTAGACAAATTTAAAAATAACTCTATGTGCCTTTCGCAAGTAGTAAAAAAAATTACTGATAATCAAAAAACTTAATCGAAAAGCTAAGGTTCCTTCCCCCAGATGATCATTGTTGATAACAAATGTATTCATGAACCAAAAGTTATATTTGACAAATTTAATAAATTCTTCATCGAAATTGGTCCTAAATTGATGACTATAATGCGGCCGTGGCGCAGTGGTTAGAGCGCTTGCTTTATAAGCAGGAGATCCGGGTTCAAAACAAACCTTGGACATATTTTCGCGTCACGGTAAGGAAGGAGGAGTGAACTTCAATGTTAAATGCACTTCCGCGGTGTTCTGTGACAAGACCGTAAGGTCTTCTTGGGTCACCTAAAAATACAATAAAAAAAAAAATTAGCAAATAAGGTTTTCTTTAGCCCAATCTTTAATGATTTCTTAGTACAATAGATTTCTTAGTACCAATGGACGATTGCAACTGTACCAAAGAAATATACTCAGAATTATCTTTTATTGAATTAAAAATTGTTTTCAAAGCGCTAAACAAAAAAAGCTATTGAAGCTGATTGAGTTAGTGGTGACGTAATTATTGAGTGTTTTGATCATCTTAAAGATATTCTTTCTAAAGTTTTTGAATCATCTGTTTACCAAGGAGTTTTTCCTGAACAAAAATATTTCCTCTACAAAAATTGCAAAAGATTCAAATTTTAAAAGAAGGGGACTGTTACAATATTATTAACTATCGCTCTATGTCCTTTATACTTTTTTAAAATTCTTAGAGCGTATTTGGTACAATAGAGTGGTTGTCTTATTTCCAATAATCATTTATATAATAATCAACTTGGCTTAAAATAATGATTCTACAGAACATGCAATCATCAAATTTGTAAAGAAAACCTCAAGATCCTTTCAAAGATCCCAAGTTACAACAATAAAATAATATTAACTTGTCGAAAGCTTTCAATACTGTCAACCGTGAAATCCTGCTCGAAAAACTGAAGTGCTACGTAATAAACTATATAACTATAAAATGGCTTCAAAGATACTTATCAAACTGAAAACATCTTGTTTTCCATTATAACAATAACCAAAGACATCTTCGAAGTTTTTTCTGCAGTGTTTCTAAAGTTTCTATCTTGGGGACACTTTTAGTCTTAATCTATATAAATGAATAAAGCCTCAAACTTAATGAATATCATGTTTGCCGACTAAAAAATATATTACATTATTTAGTTCAAATGTAAAAAAATTAACTCTTGACATTAATAAAACCAAATAAATTCTTTTCCATTTGCTCTCTAAAAAACTCTACATACCCCAAAATTACTTATTAATTAACACCCATATTATGCCAACATAGTTTGGGGAAGCACAGAAAAAAAGTTAAAACGCTTTTATCGCCGTCAGAAGCATGCAACCAGCTTAATTAGTTTTACGAATTATTTTACTCATTCTAAACCATTATTTATGGAGATGAAAATGATATTTACGAAATTAATGTTTGTAACGTTTTATGCTTTATTAACATGTGAAGAAACGATTTAACTTTACGCATCTTTAAAGACCTTTTTTCTCTAAACCCAAATAATAAATATATACTTGGAAATTTGTGTATATAAACCAGTTTGCAGAATAAAGTTTAACAAATTTTGCATTACATATCAAGCACCATCAATACGTTCAAAAAGCGTTCAAAATACGTTCAAAAAACGTCTTTTTTACGTCCCGTGTCCACTGGGATATCTTTGAAATAAAAATCTTTTTCTATCTATTGATGATATTTTTAAATTTTAATAATAACCTTTTACATATATAGTATTTGCCTTTTTTATTGTAAGACTGTTATTGTATTTTCTCTTTCCTATTTTAAAGAGATGTCTTACTGAACTTACTTTGTATATATATTTATATATTTGCGCTTTATATATATATATATATATATATATATATATATATATATATATATATATATATATATATATATATATATATATATATATATATCAGGTCCGTACCCTTGGGGGGAGGGAGGGAGTCGTTAGGTGCGATCAACCCCCCTTTTTATGCAAAGTATCTTTTTTAATTTGATGCGAAAAATTATTTTTAGACTTTTCGATGTCAAAATATTTAATTAAAATTTTTATAATAATCATTTGAATTTTATGAATCATTCTCATGAAACAATTTTTACTTTATTGTTTTAGAAACGTAAGGCGTCAGTAAAAGTCATTGCATTGCAAAATCTTTTGTAAACGAAAAATAAAATAGTCCCTCCAGAGTTTATACTGTAATTGCAATTCTCTACTAATAGGGGTCGTCCATAAAGTACGTACGCTTTTTTATCGCAACGCAAATTGCCGTACGCATTTTTGAGTACTCTCTACCTCCCCAAAGTACCTACGTTTTTAAATTACTAACCAAACATTTTATGATGTTTTTTTAGATTTAGTGTCTCCATACTTTTATATTATTGACCTAACCCCCTTATCTCAGAAACGCCATTTGTAGACCTCCTCTTCCTCTCCAAGCGTACGTACTTTATGGACGATCCCATACTAATTCACTTTTAAAAGGAAACGATAGAGTTAACATACCTAACCAAATTAGGAAGCAAGGAGCTGATAGAAAAGAACTTCAAAATGCTCTAAAGAAATGCAAATCGTTAGCTAGATATTTTAAGTAAAAAAGTTATTTTGATCTTTATTTTATAATAATTAGTTTTTATTAGTTTGATACTAACTAGATATAGATATTAACTAGATATAGATATAGATATTATCTATACGTTAAACTTTTTTATGATAGTACTTTTGTTATTACTTGTTTTTTATTATAATGTTTACGCGAGTTTTTTTAATTTTGGTATAGTTTAAGATCTGAAAGTTTATTTACGATTACTTACGTTTCGAGCGTTTTTTATTATCGACAGTTTTCAAAATGTAACCGATGAAACATATTCCGAAATAGAAGAAAAAAAGGATGTCACTAAAGATAGTAATGTTAACAAAAGCTTGTCATGCAAAGTAGACCAAACAAATTTGAAAGAATGCAATTTTAAAGAAGAAGAAAAACGACATGATATTGACGAACTCTTGCGCGGAAATCAAGATTTATCACCAAAAGAAATATACAAAATATTTACGAATAATTTAAAACAGAAGATTCATTTTCAGTTTCCCAAAATATTAAAGCATGGTTGCAAACGCACTTATAAAGAAGAATAGTTACAAAATGGATTTGTCTACAGCAAAAGTGAAGGCGCAGTCTACTGCATATACTGCACTTTATTTCCAAAGCAGGTTAAAAGAAATCTTCGGGAGCTTTTGTTAACTGTGGATATAAAGAATGGCACAATGTTTTAGAGAAACAAAAACTACATGTAGGCAATAGATACCATAAAGAAGCTATCGAACAAGCTAATGGGATTTGTTGTCGTTTTGAAGATCCAAGACAAACCATTTCATTACAAAGCGATAGCACTTTAAAAAAACCGACAACGAATGTATCCGTACATTGTTGAAACATTAGGTAGAATAGTGCATTTGATAGGAAAACAAGGACTTTCATTGTATATATGAAAAGTGTATAAAAAATACAGACCAAAAAGGTAATACCGGAAACTTTCTTGCAATTGTGAAAGAAATAGCTCGCCATAACGCTGAACTTAGTGTACATATACAAACACCATTACACAAAGATGGCAGCTACCTTGGCCCTAAAAGTAAAAATAAATAAATTGATATAATTGGAAATAAATGTATACAAGAGCGGCTAATTAATGAAATCAAAGATGCAAATTTTTATTCCATTTCAGCAGACGAGGTAACAACTGCAAACCAACAAATTCTATCAGTACGTATGAGATACGTAAACGGAAAAAAGAAATTAGAGAAGTATTTATTGACTTTATGAATCTCGATAGGATAACAGGAAAACATATTGGAGAGACCTTGATGAAATTTTATAGCAAAAGTGGAATTAATATTAGTTCTTGTAGAGACCAGTGTTACGATGGCGCATTAAACATGCAATCTGTAAAAAAAGGTGTTGCCAGCTTTATTTTAAAAGGCTTATCAAAAGCAATTGAATACATTGTAGCTCATATAATTTGAATTTATTCATTGCTGCAACATCAAAAATACCAATCATTGATAACATTTTGAAGGTATACAGAAATATATCAATTTATTTCAATACCTCTCCGAAAAGAGAGCGCTTTCTGGAGCTTGTTGCAGAGATCCTTTGTAAATCAACGAAAAGAAAAAAATTTTAATAGGGATGTGCAAACAAGATGGTCAGAAAGATATGCCGTATATGAACACTTTTATTTAGCAGTTTAATATAGAGTTTAGTATGGATTGGGATGCACAAGGAAAAAGAGAGGCCAACTCACTTCTTAATGCACTCACTAAGTTCGAATTCATAATTGGTATTATAAATTTGTACCGCTTACTTCACTCGTTGTCGTATATAACAGGGATGTTACAAAAGCGCACAACTGATATTGTGTATGCATACAGTAACATTCAAGAAACAATCAACAATTTGAATCATCTACGGAAAAATGTTGAAAAAGAAACTTACGCAATTTACCAACAAGCTACTCGTATGGCAAGTAAATTATTTGTAGAACCAACGATTCCCAGAATCACTATGAGACAGGCCTGCAAAAATAACGTACCTGCAGAGAGTCCCCATGAATATTATAAACAAGCCTTGATTGTACCTTTTCTTGATACTATCATTTCAGAAATCAAAAGACAATTTGCCTTGCTGCTAAGGTTTTATGTTTGGTACCTCACTAATTTGCAGTGAGGAGATAACTGCTTTTCAGCAGTTAGTTGAAATGTATAAAAGTGATAATCCAAATTCAGATGCTATAGATCAAGAATTTATGTTTTGGAGAAGAAAATGGTCTGCTATTAAACCTGAAGATAGGCCTAATACTCTAACCATTAAAATCTGGGATGAAAATCAATATCCTAATCTCTTTGAGCTTCTAAAGATTGGATGTACACTACCCGTAACGTCCGCAGAATGTGAACGCAGCTTTTCAGCAATGCGAAAATTAAGAACATGGTTAAGAGCCAGTATGACTGCAGATAGACATGGTTCATTAGCCATCATGAATACCTACTACAATTAAATTGTTGATTATAAACAAGTCTCAAAATTATTTTGTACTTTACATCCTAGAAAATTGTGTGAAAAAAGTTTAGTTTTTGAATAAAAATTTAAACCATTTATCAAAGTATTATTAATCTATGTATCGATACCCATTTTCTAACAAGAAGCTTGCTTATACGCCTATGCAGTATAAAAATAGAAAAAATACTCGGAGAAAAATAAATTTGTTTATGTAAACGTTGTTTACATAAATATAGCTATGTTTCACAAAAAATTTTATTAAGTAAATTTTGTAAGATACTGGTTTGGTGTTTTAAAACTACCTTTTTTTTCTTCCAAAAACAACCCCCCTTAAAAAATTTCACGGTACGTATATATATATATATATATATATATATATATATATATATATATATATTTATATATATATATATATATATACACATATATATATATATATATATATATATATATATATATATATATATATATATATATTATATATATATATATATATATATATATATATATATATATATATATATATATATATATATATATATATATATATATATATATATATATATATATATATATATATATATATATATGATATTATGGATCTTCTTTAGATTTAGATTTTCAATTTATAACATGTGTTATTGTAATTTTTACTCTTGTTTATGTCTTGATGTAAAAAAGTTTCAAACTTGTAAAGTTTCTGATGATAAGATCAAAGATCTTCTGTCAGAATCTTTGTTTGTTTGTTTTTGTAAACAACGACAAATTTAAGCACAAAAAAAAAAAAAAAAATAAATTTAGCTGATTTTAAAAATTAAAATCAGCTAAATTCATGCAGGCAATGAATCATTTTAATAACATAAACATACTGAGAAAGTATTATTGCTTCATGACTGATAGTTTTACAATAACTCGGGGACACCATGTTGCCCCGCTTTCCCCTATATATATTTTTTAAAAGCAATTGTAATGTCGATTACATGTAATATATTACGTTTAATATATTATTTCTTTAGCGACTTTTAGTTAAATAATTAATACATTTCAATATAGTTTTTCAATATAGTTTTTCAATATAGTTTTTCAATAGTTTTTTTGTAAGCGTGTATTTATACGCGCTAGTGTTAAAGAAAAGCAAATAGAAATTAGCCAGTGACTTGATACATGGGTTGTTTCATTCATTGAATTTTTCAATTGTTTCATTCATATCATTCCATATTTTCATTTTCAACATTCAATATTCATTCATATCAATTAATATCACTCATATTATTCAAATGTTTCATCCATACTATTCATTGATTCGCCGCTTAATTGATTAGTCTGTGACGTGATTAATCTTCGCCGCTTTTATACATAAATATTATTTTTGCTTATTTTGAAAATAACAATAATATAATAATAATTTTAATCTGAATTTATTAAGGGAAAGACAAAATATTATTAAAGTAGCTTTCTTAACAATATCTAAGGCCGCTCAGAAATTTTTGTGGTTGATCCACAAAAAAATGATTTAAAAAAAAAAAAAAAAAAGCAATTAATGCTTTGCAACCCACAAAAAACATTTCCAAAGTTTTTTCCTAAAATTATAAATTAGTAATTAAATTTCTTTGCATTTTTTTATTTCTATCATTTTTTAAAAAGTTTTTCTCAATATCATCTGTTTGGAATCGCTTACGCAGGTTACTAGTTTTCAAATTTTCAATTATTTCCGTAATTACACTTGTTTTCGTGCATTTACAAACGCTTAATTTACCAATAACGAACTTTTTTTAGCAATAATTTTTTTTTTGTTTATAATCTTTTTTTTTTTTTTTTTGTTATTGCTTTTTAATTTCTCAAAAAATATATTTTTATTTTTCATAAGGTTTTTTTTTTTTAGTTTTTCGCACAGTTTTTTATAATCTTACTTTGAATTTTAGCGCTCTTGCAATTATTAGTTGCATTAATTGCAATTATTATTACAATGTTTTTATTTGAGAGTATAAGCGCCTGTAATTATTATTATAAAGTTATTGAAAGCAGTTTTAATAGGCAATACGTGTTGCAGTAAAGTGGCAAGTGGGTTGAAGCCCATCCCCCCCCCCCCCCAAAGAAAAAACCTGTAATTAGGGCCCCATTTTTGTGAAAAATTTACTATATTTAATTATATAAAAAAATTAACTCCCCCTCCCCCCATTGGGGTGTGTGGGGTAACCTAACCACGGCTCTGACGTGTTAGTTAATCATTGAAATAACACTTTATCGTAATAGTCTATTTATAATTACATAATGAGATTTTCGATTTTAGTTCTTTAAAGTTTAAATTAAAATCACTCAATAAGTAAACTTGTTGTTTTTTTTACAAGCTTTACCGAAGCAATCAAATATAGTTACAATCAATTTGAAAGCACTAAAACTGTTTGTTAACCTTTTTTAAAAACTAGAAATATTTTGTAAACAAAGAATGGTATACTTAGGTATATAATGGTATTATAATGTTATCAAAAACTAAATTAAGTTTAAAATGGAATCATGCATGATACAGATAAATGCAAATTTAGTTACTACCCAGTGGATACGCGACCTAAAAAAATTCTTTTTTGGATTGTTAAAAAGACGTCCAAAACGTTAAAAGACGTTCAAGAGATGTTCTAAACTTTAAAAAGACGTTTAAAAGATGACTTTTTTACGTCCTGTGCCCATTGGTTATATAAACTTTAATTCCTCGTTAAATTTAAGTTTTAGCAGTAAATGTTTTTTTAAATAACATTTTATATATTAGTAAAGATTCTAGAAAGTTACAGGATTGCACTATTTATCATAGAGTCACAGCAATTGTTTAAGTACAGTTCATCTATGGCCAAGCATGAAAGTCACGCACGGAAGTTGCAAATTTGTCGAGTTCATGTTGTTATTTTTTTTTTATAATAAATTGCTTGTGAGTATTTTAAGTGCAATATTATATCTCTACAATTCAATATATTTTCAATGAGAAAGAGCAGTCATCAAATATTTCTAACTAGAGTAAAGCCCTAGTAAGCACAAGCATAAAAAAGACGTCTTTAAAACGTCTTATACACGTTTTGGACGTCTTTTGAACGTTTAGGATGTTTTGGACGTTTTGGAGTAAAGCGTTTAGAAAATCATTGTACATTTTTCAAACGATAGCGATACACAAAAAGTATACAACGATAAAAAAATAATATATATTTAAACACTTAGGTAGCCTAAAATATAAAAGAAATTTTTTTGATATATTTGTTTTTAAGATATTCTTAATAGTATGTATATTGATTTAAGTCCCAGGCTTCTAATTGTAAAAACAATAAAAAATAAAAAATTACTGACATAAATGGAAATGCCCTATATACGTTGTAAATAAGTAAATGTTTTCTAAAAATCATATATGTAATTATTTACATATATACAAAGTCGTTAATTCGGTCCATTTACATATAAACAACGTCATTGAGTTTAGTTTGTTTTTGCTTCCAATTATACTAAAAACAAAAATATTTATCAACTTTTGATCTCTTTGAGTGTGCGGCCGATCTTGAAACTTTTTTCAGTGACTTTAATTTTTATCCCTAAAAAAACTATTTAAAAAAAGTTATTTTATCCTAATAATTGCTGTTAATAGCTCTATATTAATGAAACACTCTTAATCTTTCCTTTACTTTATACAATTCATTAGACAGTTGCCAAACCATGTATACAATTGATTAGACAGTTGCCAAACCATGTATACAATTGATTAGACAGTTGCCAAACCATGTATACAATTGATTAGACAGTTGCCAAACCATGTATACAATTGATTAGACAGTTGCCAAACCATGTATACAATTGATTAGACAGTTGCCAAACCATGTATACAATTGATTAGACAGTTGCCAAACCATGTATACAATTGATTAGACATCTGCTAAGATTGCTTCTCTTTATTGTGCTTGCTGTTTTCTTAATTTTCATCCCATTCTCCACCTCAATAAATCGCTTATTTATTCTTTCTATTAGAGAATAATGTGTGTAGCTGGTTGTTCTAATGAAGCCCTACCTTTTTTAGACAAGGTCCAAAATCGCATTGTGAATGTTAGACCTACTCTCGCTGTTTAATATAAACTCCCAACTTAAAAAGCATTTGCTTGCAATCATTTGCTTGCAATTTAGTTGGATGTAATGCTTGAAAAATAAAAGTTAAAAAATGCTATTTAAAACAAAGACAAAAAAAACACAAGAAGAAAATAACCTGTGTTTTAAATTTTTAAAATTCTTTAACCAAAGTTATTAAAAGTCGTAAACCTTCTTGCCTCCACTTTTTTTTCTGCAGTGATTTTTGACCAACCCCCCCCCAAAAAAAAAATTATAGCGGTAGAATCTTCTGGCTTCTGATTTTTAATCTAAAGATAAAATGTCAAAGTTTGACAATAAATTATATAAATGCAGCATTAGTAAAAAATAGAATAGTTGCACCTATTTAATCATTAAATTGCATGTAAAATTCTCAACTTTGTCTTTTGTTTGATTTACAAACTTTAAGTAAACTTATCACTACACGTTCAACGTTTTTTTATTTACTTAAAAAATGTATTTTGTAACAAGAACCTAAATATGTAGCTAATGAAAATAGCTACATATTAAACTACATATTAAAATAAATGTCATCAAGTAATAAATTTATTTTACTATTATGGTTAATTTAATGGTACAGCGGAAGAAACAATGGTAGCTCTGACATTTATAATTCAAGAATTTTCTTCAAAAGGTTGAAGAGAACTAACTCACTAACATAATAGTACCAACTCACTAACCTAATCATAAAATTGTTCTATTTAAGCAATTTATAAGTAGTTACATTATTTTGCATTATGACGTTTTGCTCCATAAAAATTTTACCTAATTTTTTAGCAAAATTTTAATGTACAATATTAGTTGCCTTATCTAGGATATCGTTGCGATCTATAATTCAAATGAAACAGTAGAATTTTATACAGTATTTTAGTAGCATTTTGTCGT